CAGAAAACCATGTAGGGAAATGATATTAAACAGTCCCCTAATCTGATTTGTGCCACATAACTGTGTGTGTGATGTATGTGCTGTGTGAAAAACTGCCTTCTGATAGGATCAAAGAGTCTAAACACACACTAAACCGCTGCTGATGCCTGTTAAACACACTGATCAGAAAGTCATGTCTGATGAAAAGTAATTGAATGACATTTCATTGTCCAAGGATGGGAGCAGCAAACGTCAGACAAACTGGGCGAAGAACCACAATGATATGGTTACAGTAATGGAGATTTATGCAATGTTGACCTGATAGATGAGATTATACAATCACGGAACTCTTCTACTTGAATCCTTCAGAGTGACATGAAGGAAAAATGAAATGACATTTAAAAAAATGAAAATAAATAACATTAAATAAAAATGAAAAAAAAAAATAAAAAAAAAATACATAAAAATAAAAGTAATAAAATTAAAATTAAAATGTAAATAAAGGAAAAAAAATAATGAAAATTAAAATAAATAAAAAAATATAAATTAAATGAAATAAAAATTAAAATAAAAATTAAAAGAAATCAAAATCAAAATAAAAAAATAAATAAAAAAATAATAATAAAAAGGACCATTACAGTATTAATTCACAGCACTTACTTGACTCCTTTAAAATGAAAAAGGATAAAAATAATATAATAATCAGATCTTATAATAATAAGATCATTAATAATAATGATAATAAAAATAAGTATTATTATTATTATAATTATATAAAAAAATTCAATAAAACTCATTTTTGTACAGACCATTAACAGCACTAGAAGAGCCACCACTTTAAATTCTACCTTATAGGATCAGGTTAAAAACAGAGAGACAGGTTAAAACATTATGACAGCATCTACGTCTCTACCAGAGGAGTTATGACTGTTTATGACAGTAGTAAGAGGTTCCCCTTCCACCGCAGCTTTCTGCATTTGTGTACCACGCAAAGCCACACAAAGGCACACGGTGCGGCTCGCTACATGAACACACACAACTATAAGCACCTATTACTATTCCACTCACAGCAGCCATGCAGTAAGACAGGAGAGGACCTGTGGTGGGCAGCAACAGCAGAACCCACGGCTCGAACCCTCCCTCCCTCCCTCCATCCATACTGACCATTCCTGTGTCAGCGTGAGTGGGTGTGTGCAAGCGATCGAGCGCGGATGCGAACGTGATAATAAAAATAAGTATTATTATTATTATAATTATATAAAAAAATTCAATAAAACTCATTTTTGTACAGACCATTAACAGCACTAGAAGAGCCACCACTTTAAATTCTACCTTATAGGATCAGGTTAAAAACAGAGAGACAGGTTAAAACATTATGACAGCATCTACGTCTCTACCAGAGGAGTTATGACTGTTTATGACAGTAGTAAGAGGTTCCCCTTCCACCGCAGCTTTCTGCATTTGTGTACCACGCAAAGCCACACAAAGGCACACGGTGCGGCTCGCTACATGAACACACACAACTATAAGCACCTATTACTATTCCACTCACAGCAGCCATGCAGTAAGACAGGAGAGGACCTGTGGTGGGCAGCAACAGCAGAACCCACGGCTCGAACCCTCCCTCCCTCCCTCCATCCATACTGACCATTCCTGTGTCAGCGTGAGTGGGTGGGTGCAAGCGATCGAGCGCGGATGAGAACGCGAGAGATTCCTCCACTCACCCTGGCTGTTGGCGGCCCCCTCTGCCTCCTCGCATTCGGTCAGGTTGTTGACCATCCTGCCTTTCCGAATGCCCTCGCTCCCCCAAAACTCACCTCCACTCAGGGGAGAAAAGCAGAAGAACGGCCAAACTAGGAGATGTGCGAGAAAGAGATGGAGTGATTTGCGCACCTGCCTTCCCCTGCCGAGCGCCCAGAGGAAATT